AAATTTTTTTTGAAAGCCAAATTTTTTAAACTTAAACTTCTAACACCACTTCTTCAAAATAGACTTGCCCAGGCCATGGTATTTTGTGGAAGAGCCACACTCAAAGGGCCAAAAGAGCCGCATGTGGCTCACGAGCTGCAGTGTGCCTACCACTGGGCTAAGAGAATTGCCCAAAGTCACCTAGACAATTAAGGAAGACTTCATGAGTAAGTTGAGTCTTCTAACTTCCATATTGTTTCTACAATGGTTTGCTTCCATACACTTTTATGGTGCCTCACTCTTTTCTTGACTTAAACCCCAGGGCCAAATATGTAATGGTTAGTTAAGATGAGAAATTGAGATGGTAGGCACTGATGATCCAGGGTAGCAAGCCATCCCCAGGGACTTCCTATTTCTCAGGAAGACTCATTGCATCTCACTGCCAAGAGAGTCTCATCTATGACAATGGCACCTGTCAGGGACTGGGCTAGGTGGCATCCATGGGAAACTCGATGTAAAGAAGCCATATTGCCAACAACATCATCAGGTGTAAAGAAGCCATATTGCTAACAAGCACTACCTTGTTCCCAGGCGATGTATTCAACTTTCCAAGCCCCACCTTCATATTGGGCTTCCAGGGGTAAAGGGAGTGCCACCCATGACTAGCACCCATACCTAGCACTGCCAGTCTCATTTGTCTGGGAAACAAAATGAAGAGACATTTCAAAGCTGTTAAGCCAAGGCCTTCTTAAAAGGAGGACTCAAACTCAATCGATAAAATGTGATTGCTAATGATTCTGTTTTTGCTTTTACAGAAGTGGGAGGGAAGGAAACTAAAGGCTCTGTTCTATCTTGGCCTCACAATCCTGTGCAATGTCAGATTTTTAGGAAAAAAAAAAATTTACATGACTGCAAGCACACTATTGCTAGCCTCAGACACTGCCAGAATTACCGAATTCATTATCTAGTCTCATCCATATACAAATGTGTGGGGTATGTACTGTTATCCCCTTTCTACATGTAAAGAAGCTGAAGGGAAACCATTTGAATTTTCAGATAAGGCAAAGAATGTATGACATGTTCTTTGCTTAATCAGGGGTTGCGCATCATAAGGCATTGGGGAACAAACTTGGATAATAGTCTCGTCGGTTTGATTGGCAGTCATGTAGCACTCAAATGCTCCCTTAATTCTAGCTCTAGTCTAGACTATAATCCCCTTAATTTCCACTTTCAAGACTTACATCCATTTAACACAGTTTATTCTTTCCATTGAAAACATAAAAAATATATTCGATATAACAACATTTAAAAGAAACCTTGAACCAAAATATAGATGATTTGACCTCAGTTAGACCTGGCTGTGAATCCTCCAGGCTGACCCTCTGTGGGCGTTGGTTGCCTTACATATAAAATTACTCTAAGAATGAATGAGTTAAAGTATATGAAATATTACATAATATATGTGAAAGCACCATATAATTATAATTGTTATTGCTGTTATTATTATGAATAAGCTGCCTAAGTAAAGTTACACATAAGGAAGTAAGATGCATTGAGTAAATTAAATCAGACAGCTGTTTTTGGACCAGGAAATTCTCTCCTGGTGCTGCTAAGCATTCATTCTTTGCAGATGTGAACTGCTTTTGTAAGGATGGAATGGAGCTCTTGCTAGCATTGGGGAAAATCATCTCTCTCTCTCTCCCTCCCTCGTGCCTTTCCTCCCTCCCCCTCATCTCTTCAGAGATCTTGGCTGCCTTACATTTTCAATAAAATGAGATCTGAGCCTAATAAGGAGCCCCAAGAACTCTCAGGCCTGGTATTCCCTCGTCAGCCTAGCTGACTTGTCCTTAAGTAGCCAGAATGGATAGAATCTCTCAGATGGAAGGCACACATGGTACTCCCTCAGCAGCTAGTTAGCTGAGCCTGGCCAAGCAGACCCCCAGTCCCATTTGCGGCCCGTGGTGACTGCATTCTGGACACCACGCTAGGCATTTTATAAGGAGTGTTTTGTTCCTTACAATTACCCTGCAGGGTCAACAGCCTTGGGAAATAGTATCACAGCTTCATCATAAACCAAATGACTAGTGCAGAGCCATCAAACCTACCAAGAGCAGAGCTCTGAATTTTAAGCACTATGTCTACACAGGCCCTTGGGAGAAAGCTCCTTGTAGGTATATACTTTTAATTTGGGGGATTGGGCTGGGGTGAGGGAGGGTAGGCAGCTTTGGTTAACGAAACACTCAGCTACAAAGCACCAGAGTATTCCTGAAAGCTAGTGCTACTGACTGAAATTCAGTCAGTATACCTTTTACAGGCCAGATCCACTCCCCTCATTTTCCTTCTGCAAAATGTTTACAGTGCAGACTTTTGCTGGCCCTTCCTAGTCTGGAATTCCTCAGGAATGATGCCAACCCTAGTACTGCATCCATTAGTGATGACCTGGTCACTCTGTAAGAATTCATATCCATTTCCAGGGTAGGGTAATTCATCCCAAGATGGCAGAGAGGTGTTTTGTTTTAAATATTTTTTAAAACTCCTTTAAGATTTAGTAGGTTTTACAATAAGGGTTATATTCCTTTTGTAAAGCTCAGTCGTGAGTAAATTAAAACTGCAAATCACAGAAACAGAAAAGAAAGACCTACTAAATGCTCCTGCAGCAATTATTCAACCTTAGTGCATTGCATTCCTGCACTTCTTAAAGCTACTAGATGGGTGGGGGGGGAGGGGGGGAAAGCCCCCCAAACTGTGAGCTGTAATTATGTTCCTATCAGACCTGTGACACACAGGGATGTCCCTTAGTGAGCAGTTCTGTTTATGGGGGGTGAAAGCCGCCTGGCCCCTGGAGGGATAGCCAGCCCAGCCTTGGAAGCAAATTGTATGGATGTGTAAATACCGAGTCCATAATGGTGCCTCTCTGCCTAAATGTCTTCATAAAGTGCAAATTAGCGCAGATCCTAACTAGGCATTTGCAACGCTAACCTAGTTTTCTGTGTTTAGCTAATAGGTGGCAATTTCGCTTACACTTTTATCCCCTCATTACGGAGCAATGACGATTACTTAGTAAACACATGTGCGAGGCCTTGTGCTCCATGGCCCCCTCCTGGGTTGGGAAGAACCTCCTTCTAATGCTCCTATTTACATAATGTAGTTGTTGATATATCAGACCAAGTTCAGGATATGGAGAGCTGTGACAGGTATCCCATTAGGGGGAGGCTAAGGACAGACCCGTTCTCAGCTGGGTCTCCTGTGATGGCCTGGCCAAAGGCAGGGACTGGAAAGAAAGGATGCTGGGGGTGGAGCCTCATTGATGTTAACCCTTGGTAAGTTTTAAAGGGACTCAGATGGCTCGTCTCATGTAAAAATTATGTATGATGCTGGAGAGAGGTAGGGAAAGGGTGTTTTATAACCAATGAAATATGGAATGCATGAGGGGAGAGAGAGAGAGAGAGAGAGAGAGAGAGAGAGAGAGAGAGAGAGAGAGAGAGAATGAAATAGACATGTAGAAGAGAAAGATGCAAACTGTGGCCTTGGGAGATGCTACCCAGTTCATTCCTGGATAGATGGCAGCTATAAACCTTTACAAGTCACCTAACCTAGGAATTTTCCCTCAGGTGTAGGATGGGGTAAAAGAGGTCTCACTAGAGGATTTCAGGGCACTGTTTATTATCTTCCAGTCTCACAGTATACCTCTGATTTCTTAGTAAGGTGACCAAGCCCCAAAGGGAGCAATTTTGAATAAAATATTTCCTATTCCTGTTCTCTGAAGAGAACATTGCAGCTGAATAACGGTCTTTGGATCTGGGTCCAGTATAAGAGCAGACAGGGTTTTTACTATCCAGAATCGGAGGGTGGGGATTGCTGGACTGGAGGAAGATTCAGGAAACATGCCCCTGTCCCCCAGGGATGTTCAAATGTGCCTGCTCCCAGGGGCAGGGTTCCTGCTCTCCTCTTCTGGTGACTTCATGGCAAGTTGGCTGCGTCCTCAATTCTGCAGAGGGAATGCAGGCAGAGGGGAGCGCTGCAAAGGGGCCTTACCCTGGGCACCTCCATGACAGGTGTGAAGGGAAATGGGGTGGACACGGTCAAGGGGAGGAGGCATTACATTGGGAAATACTGCTGATCCCCAGGCTTTTTCTCACTGCTCCCCTCCAAACCCCCCACCCCCTGCACCAACAAAGACACTGCTTGGCAATCAGAATCCCTTCCAACACAGAGACACACAGGTGCAGGCAGGCACTAGCCCTACCTCACTCCCCTCCACTGGCTTGCCCTCCTCTGCTAACACCAAAGGCTGGCACAAGTAGCCTGAGGCCAGTGAGTCTCGGCCAGCACACCCCTGCCACTGGGCATTCCAAAGGACCGTCATTTAGAGTGGCATTGATGATGCTGTATTGTTTCTGACGGGGGTTTGCTTTTATTGCTGGGAGGGGGCGGCGGGCTAGGATAGTTCAGACCATCTCCGCTGTGCCTGATGGGTTCGGGGGGAAGGAATGGAGGACCTCCACCTCCCTCTGGTCCCTGAGGAATAGTCTCCACTCCCACATCTTCCCGCAGTCACTTGAAAGTGCTCTGATCCCCAGGCCAGGGCTCCGTGTCCATTTTTGCCAGCCAGAACCACCAAGTTTGGGAACTTTGAAAGCCCGGGGTTGGGGGTGGGGGTGGCCAAGGCTCAGATTTCGGCGCCAGAGTTCTCAGCCAGAAAGCCTTGAAAATCAACAGTCATCCGCCTCTCCCTCCTCACCCCCCACCCCTTGTACCTTCCAGAACTCCATGCGAATACTACCCCGGACACACACACACACACACACACACACCCATCCTTGGGTTCAGAAGGTTTATAATTCCGAAGGCAGCAAACCCGCAGAGCTGAGCAGGTCTCTGCCACCATCCTCTCCCCCCTCCCCACCCCCGCCCCATCCCAGCCCGAGAGGCCACCTCAGTGCCTTGCACACAATAGGACCCCACAAACCCCAAACCCAACACCACACCAACCCGCCCGCCACTCCGGCGCGTCCCCATACCTGATATGCAGACGATGAAATTGGCTTGAAGAAGAAAAAGCACCTCCCAGACTATTTCCATCCTCCGATTCTCATTCCAAGTGCATCACTCGACGGGAAAACGGGGGGCGGGGGGGTTAGCCCGGCACGGCACACGCACATCCAACACACTCACACACTTCTGGGCGAGTGTGCAAGCTCGCACTCCCACCGGACGGCGGCCGGTCCAGGGACAGTCACCCCCAAGATCAATATCGCCGTTGGACTTGTTCCGGCAAAGATCCCCTCGGGCTTAAGGGCTGCGCGGCGCCCCAGGTGTGCTGACACATGTCCGAGGTCTGGCTGCCGCCCCGGAGGAGGTGTCCCCGCTCAGAGGTCTCCGCTGCTCCCGGCCCGGGCAGCGGAGGAAGCAACGCCAGCAGCAGAGGCGGCGGCAGCCACCTGCAGCCGCCACCAGCGCCGGGCTCCGTCTGCACCAACGAGACCCCGATCCGCCGCCGGGCGCCCCAAGAAGGCATAGACGAGAGCCCCCCGCCGGGCCGCGCTGCTGCCGCTCCTCCTCGGCTGGCGGGGCCCGGGCAGCTCGCAGGCGGTCCGCGCCAAGTTGCCCTCGAAGTCCGCTCCGTTCACCGGGGCATGGTCTGTCCTAGGGCGGCTGCCGCTCCGCTTCGGGGCCGGTCCTCTTCTGCTTCCGGGGGGGGGCGGGGGGAGGAGCAGACGCAGCAGAAGGGAGGCGGCGAGAGGGAGAGGCGAGAGAGGCAGGGATTAGTGCCCGAACCCGCCGCCGCCGGTCCTCCCAGTGCCCAGGTCCGCGCGCTGCCCGCCTCCGCTGAGCCCGACCCCGGCGGCGCGGCCAGGGCGCCGATCGCCGACCGCGAGGAGCCGGGATCCCGGGCGCGTCGGGGGCCCGCGGGCTCCGCACGGCGTTCCGCGGCTGCTTCCCGGGGCTCCCTGATCCCTGGCTCCCCGATCCCTGGCTCCCAGCGCCCGCAACGAGTGCCGCCGCCGCCGCCGCCGCCGAGATTCCGGCACTGCAACTGCAGGGGTCGTTCTTTCCTCGCCTACGGAGCCCGACGCTGCCCGGCCAGGAGGGGAGGGGAGCGGGTGGGGGCGGGAGGAGGAGGGAGGGGAGCGAGGGGGAGGTCCGACCAGGTGAGCATCCTCCGTGCCACCCGGGAACCTAAGGTCCTGGGGCCCGCTGCTCCCGGGGGCGCCGGCGGGAGGCGGGGTGCGGAGGGGAGGCTCCCCGCGGCCATGAGGAGGACGGGGCGCTGGGAGTCGGAGCTGCGGGCCGGCCACGGCGGCAGCCACCGGGGCCCGGGCCCCGCTCCGACTCAGACTCCGCCCCGCTCGCCTCGGTCACCCTCCGAGGTTTGGGGAGTTTCTCTTCTCCTTAAAGAGAACTTCGAGCCCCCTTCTTCTCCCCTCCTCCCCCTCCCCCCCCCCCCCCACTTTGGCACGGGAGCCCCGGGAGGGACTCTTCCTGGGAATGCTGCTACGCTGGAATATTGGGGGATTTTTTCTTCTTTTTTTGCATAATTCCTCCCTTGTCCCCTACCTCCCCCCGCTTCTCATTCCTCCCCTGCCCTTTTCTCCCTCCACCCGCCACCTCACCTCCCCCTTTCCGCTCCGGGGCCAGGACCCGACTTACCCCGGAGTCCTCTCAGCAGCTCCTAGAGCAGGTGCAGCTCTTGCCTGCAAGTCCCTCCCTCCCCGGACAGTGGAAAAGCCTCTGTCCCACTCCTGCGCCCGCAGCCCCGCGGCCAACCGCTCCTCCGCCGGCTCCAGGGGGACCCGAGGCTGTGGGCGCCCCGGGCTTTGGGGGAACGGGCTTCCCTTCTTGGCTTTCAATCGCTTTCTTTCGGGAAGCTCCTGTGCTCTGGGGGGCTGTTGCTGGGGTCCCCGCAGACTCTCTGCCGCGACCCTCCGCCGCTTCCGGGGAAGCCCTTCCCACCGAGCCCGCGGGCGCACTCACCCCGGAGCGGCGCGGCCGGCGCAGGCCCCGCGGGAGGGGGGAGCGGCCGCAGCACCGCCCGCCGCCCGGGCCCGGGGAGCGCGGGCTCAGCGGGTCTCCCGCCCCGCAGGCTGCCCGAGGCCGGGGGAGCACTGGCAGCTGCTCAGCCGCTCGCCAGGTGGATGCGGGGGGACTGGAAAGGATCCCTGCACCCGGGACTGTGCGCCCCAGAAGAGGGCTGGGGGGGGGGGGGGGGGAGAAGGGAAATCGCAGCGGCCGTCTCTCCCCGCTCCCGCTGCAGCAGGGGGTGGAGGAGAAAGCCCCAGACCTACCTCTTGGGGGTAACTGCAGCGGAGGAGGCAGGGTAGGGGAATCCCTGGGAAGATCTCGGATTTCTGGGCGCGCTCCTCCGGAATGCAAACTGTGACGTTTTGGAGATTTTTTTGCACAAGCGCGGATGGACACACACACACACACACACACACACACACACACACACACACACACACCACAACGCACACGCACAACCCACAGGGGATTTTTTGCACAATTTTATTTTCGACGTTTAGAAGCCTTGGTAGTGTGTGCCTTGGTCTGCTAGCAGCATCCAAAGGGTGGATGAGTGAAAGGGAAGCGGGAGGAGAGAGGAGGGGACGGTTCATCCGCGCTGAGTCAGTTGAGCGAGTCTCCCAGGCTGTGTGGCCTCGGAGGGTGCGGTGCGGGAGCCGAAGGAGTCACCCTGCAGCGCTCCCGGGATTACTGAAAGGATGCCAGCTGCCCAGGAGTCTGGCTGTCCTTGGGCTGAGTGGCGGGAGGCGGCGGGGGCGGAAGGGATGTGGGAGGGAGCCAAGGTAACAGCAGGAGCTTCCTAAGCTGGGCTCATCCTGGGAGACAGGGCTGCTTGGTCCTGCTGCCTCCAGTCCAGAGATTCTGGGAAAGAACTTCTGGCAGACTTTGCCTACTGTTTCAGAAGGAGGTGTGATCCAGGGATCTGCTCTCTGATGCGACAGCCAAGGACCCTAGGTGATCAAGGCATTAAAAATCTAGACCCAGATGGAGAGAGCCCAGGATTCTTACTTCCAGAGCTCCAGGCTCAGCAGGGAAGATATTGAGACCTGGGAACATTAAAAGCATCTCAGGTACTGAGAATGAGCCCACTTGGGAAACATGGCGTGGAGGGGGTCGCGGTGCAGAGGGGCTGTTTGTCCCTGAGCCTTGCAAGCCCACTGCACGAAAGGACTTTTTGAAGAGAGAAAAAAAGCAGTTTGCCAAAGATGCACCAATTCCATCCTAGGGAGGGGTTGACCTGCCTTCTGCATTTGGGAGCCCAATGTTTGGCTAGCAAGAAAGACCTCTCCGGAAGCAGAAGCAGGGTGCCTGGATTGTTATACCACCAACAACCTATTTATTTATTAATGAGTTATGCAAATATCAAGGGCGTGCCTGATATGTGTCAAGCCCTGTAGTAAGATGCTGGAGTTTTGTAATTGAAAATCCATAATCCTTGTTTTCAAAAAGCCTAAAGACCACATTCCCTCCATTTGCTTTAAGAGCTAAAGCCAGTAATACTTCATTTTCCCCCTTTCAGTCTGTAGCTCGCCTTCAAGCCCTCTCAAAAATATTTAGGCTAAGTACTGCTGCCAAGTACTTTTACTTTTTAAAAAATATACAAAAATAAATAAAAACCATTAATTCATGATAGTATTTAAGTAAAAATAACTGCATGCATTGTTTTCCATGTACATATTGCCAAATCCTTTACATGGATTCCTTTATTTAATCATCAGAACATCCATATAAGAGAAATATTGTTACTTCCATTTTACAGATGATAAAACAGAGGCCCAGAAAAGCTATTTGCGGTCTCATGGCTGCTAATTCGTAGTGTAGAAACCACAGCCAGGCATTCCAAACTCAGAGGCCATGCTACCCCATCTCCCCTCATGCTCTGTGAAATTAAAAATATCCTGGAGAGGTCCTTTTGTGCTTAGAACCAGAATCCACATATGACACAGCTAGACTTCAGTTAAAGACAAGATGGATTGTAACAGTAGAACATGCAATTTATAGCTTAACTACAGTAGAAGTGGGAGAAAGAAAAGGTCACTGGGAATTAGAAGTAATCACAAGCATTTCTAATGAAAATCTGAGTGCCTGCTAAGAGCCAATTCTCTCCTTGAAATACAGCACTGAACACAACAGTCCCTGAACATTGACTTGCTACATTAGCATGTTCTGATCTAAACCTGATGCTATACTTTTCTTCTTTTCATTACATTTAATCTCTCTCTCAAACATCCAACTTCGCTGAAACCGGTTTGGCTCAGTGGATAGAGTGTTGGTCTGCAGACTAAAAAGTCCCCGGTTCAATTCAGGTCAAGGACATGTACCTTGGTTGCTGGCACATCCTCAATAGGGGGTGTGCAGGAGGCAGCTGATAGATGTTTCTCTCTCATCGTTGTTTCTAGCTCTCCCTCTCTATAAGTAAAATATATTTAAAAAACACACACACACAAAACATCCAGCTTTTTTCTGAACTCAAGATTTTACAAATGGGACACTTGTTTACAACAGATAAATTGCAGGCACTTTGTAAGTGGTTGCTAAAAAAAATGAATAGGTTTACTTGCTTGATTATTTAAATAACTACAATCTTTTGATATGTGGTACATGTCAAGTAGTATATTTCAAGTGCACATTAATATAATTTCAGAACAGATCTACTCGAAGTCCCTTAATTTTCAGGAGAGAAGATGGAAAGATTAAGGTGAGTTTAAGTGATATGTCCAAGTTCAAATACAGACAGAAGTAGAGGCAGAGGCAGAATTTGATTCCAGCCTTCCTACTTATTTATTTTAAAACTTGTGCTGGTTCCCACACTGGCCCCTGTACATGGAGAGCATGAAGCAATCTAGAAAAGTAGAAGACTGCTCTAGAGTGGTAGATGGCCATTTTAATAAGCAAGGGAAACTTGCATATGAACTTGGGTGGTCACAAGAGGAGTAGATTGCTGCATCTGAATGCCAGATCCTAAAATGAAATTACTGGGTTCAATAATATACTAGTGTATCATCCAGATGGTCTCAAAAACACCTTCCTCTCTCAAGGCTTGCTCTTAAAATGAATCCTAGGTTGAGAATGGTGGGCAGAAGTTACATTCCAAGGAGGTATGAGGAGACTGACTTCCCAGATCCTCTTCCTGGGCCAACCAGCTGTCTCATCCTCTCTCTCTCTCTCTCTCTCTCTCTCTCTCTCTCTCTCTCTCTCTCAATCTCTCTCTCTCTCTCTTTTTTAAATATATTTTATTGATTTTGCACAGAGAGGAAAGGAGAGAGATAGCGAGTTAGAAACATCGATGAGAGAGAGTCACCGATCAGCTGCCTCTTGCACACCCCCTACTGGAGATGTGCCTGCAACCAAGGTACATGCCCTTGACCGGAATCGAACCTGGGACCCTTCAGTCCACAAGCCGACACTCTGTCCATTGAGCCAAACCGGTTTCGGCTGTCTCATCCTCTCAATGACCTACCTCCTCCAACAGCCTTCCATCTCTGTCATTCTTTTGTTGTTACTGAGTAACACATTGCAGCAGCTAATCATGGAAAACATGTTATCTAAATCCATACGAATTAGTGGAAGATGTTTTCCCAGATTTTTTTTTTTTTTGCTTTCTATCCAATTCACTTTTATCTTAATCCTACCATTTGTGTGTGTGTGTGTGTGTGTGTTTGTGTGTTTGTATTGTGGTTTTGTGGTGTAGATTTCTTCTACATTAATCCTTTCTCAGAGAAGTATTGTATGAGCAAGAACTTACACCAGCTGCAGTACCTTCAGGTAGCAGTTATAGATCAATATAGTGGATTTTAACTTCATAATGGTTCTCTGGTTTAAAGAAAGGCTTTAATTAGGATAGCAGCCTGCTCCCATATCAGCCTGTGTAAATTTTGGAGTTAGCAACTAATGCATTAGCTTTTTAAATTATTCACCAGGGTTTTTTTTTCGCAACGGGTTTGCCGCCAGAACACAAGTGTCGTGAAAACCACCATTAACTCAAACCCAAGATGGGAAAGGAAAAGACTCACATCAACATCGTCGTCATTGGACACGTAGATTCCGGCAAGTCTACCACTACCGGCCATCTCATCTACAAATGTGGTGGGATCGACAAAAGAACCATCGAGAAATTTGAGAAGGAGGCTGCTGAGATGGGGAAGGGCTCCTTCAAGTGTGCCTGGGTCTTGGATAAACTGAAAGCTGAATGGGAGCGAAGTATCACCATTGATATCTCCCTGTGGAAATTAGAGACCAGCAAGTATTATGTTACCATCATTGATGCCCCAGGGCACAGAGACTTCATCAAAAACATGATTACAGGCACATCTCAGGCCGACTGTGCTGTCCTGATTGTTGCTGCTGGTGTTGGTGAATTTGAAGCAGGCATCTCCAAGAATGGACAGACCCATGAGCATGGCCTTCTGGCCTACACTCTGGGTGTGAAACAGCTGATTGTTGGTGTTAACAAAATGGATTCCACTGAGCCACCCTACAGCCAGAAAAGATACGAGGAAATTGTTAAAGAAGTCAGCACCTACATTAAGAAAATTGGCTACAACCCTGACACAGTAGCATTTGTGCCAATTTTTGGTTGGAATGGTGACAACATGCTGGAGCCAAGTGCTAATATGCCTTGGTTCAAGGGATGGAAGGCCACCCGTAAAGATGGCAATGCCAGTGGAACCACACTGCTTGAAGCTCTGGATTGCATCCTGCCACCAACTCACCCAACTGATAAGCCCCTGCGCCTGCCCCCTTCAGGATGTCTACAAAATTGGTGGTATTGGTACTGTCTCTGTGGTACTGTCTCTGTGGGCAGAGTGGAGACTGGTGTTCTCAAGCCCGGCATGGTGGTCACCTTTGCTCCAGACAATGTTACAACTGAAGTAAAGTCTGTTGAAATGCACCATGAAGCTTTGAGTGAAGCTCTTCCTGGGGACAATGTGGGCTTCAACATCAAGAGCGTGTCTGTCAAAGATGTTCGCCGTGGCAATGTGGCTGGTGACAGCAAAAATAATCCACCAATGGAAGCAGCTGGCTTCACAGCTCAGGTGATTATCCTGAACCACCCAGGCCACATCAGTGCTGG